GCAAGAGCTATATTTCAAAGCTAAGATAAGCATATAACATAGGTTAAGCATGTTCAAAGGGCAAAACTGTAAGCTCTGCCTGAGTAAGACATTACTACCACTTTTATAATGGTTCCTTCTTACGCCAAGCAGCCTGCTTTTGCGTTTGCAATGGCGTACCGTGAAAACGAACAAACTTCCTCCCACTTGCATTCGTTCCCTGCATAGACTACAATTTGGCCACAGTGTCTCAGCTATAAATCCCCATCTCACAGTGAACTACTCATTAGAGAAACACAGAATGCAGTGCCTGAAAAAAACAACTTCCATCTTTTCAGAGACAAATCATAATAGCACAGTCTCATTATCATGCTAATGCTTTCAAGAGACTATCAGAAACTAATTTGATTCTAGCATCTCCAGAGAAGTCTCTTCCCTTCCAAACTTTCTGAAAATTGAATTGTTTTAATAAGCTGTTAAATAAGAATAAGAAATTAAATTGAAAGCAATATCAAAAGCCCAAATACAGACTTGGACAAAAAAACTCCATTCAAAATTAATGAGACACACAGTTTGAAGTACACCAAAAAAATTTACAATTCAATCCTAGACACGGCACCAAACAGAAAGGGAGAGAATTAATTAATGAGTCATTAAGTATTAAGTCAAGCTCAGTGTGGTCTCATTAGCCAAGTGGGTTAGACCTAATTAAAACTCAGTACAAGATTTACATGAAAAGCCTAAACTGGCTGTTGTAGACTGTCAGCGTTCAGAGTGGGTGCTGACCACTGAACCTGCACATATCTAGAGAAACTCTTTTGCTAGATGCTTCCTACTTTTAAACACAATAAAAAAGCCTGTCAGTGCTGTCTACCCTTCAAGGTATTATACTTTCTCAAGACGCTATGAAAAAACCCAAACTAATTCCTGCTTAATTTTGACAGCCATCTTCTGACTCATCGCAACATCACCTGATGTTTCTCCTGGCTATGCAGTACATACGGTGTTTTTGACCCGCACTGGTGTGGGGCGTGCTGTATAGGAACTCAGGGAGGGAGATCAGGGAAGAAGCACAGGAACCACATTCCAAACACCCTCCTCAGCCAAACCATGTATCAAACTGCCCACAGGACACTAAAATACCCCAAAATGATAGGTTTATAAGACTTGGACCTAAAAGGAAATGGCCTCCAAAGACAAAATGACCACTCCAATATCAAAAGTACCAAGCAACAACACTGCATTATTTCTGCTCTGTTTGCTTGATTCTCTAGGATAAGAAGGTTGCAGTAACTCAAACAAGCCAGACTTAACACTGAAGGAACCAAAAGAGTAGAAGTCTGCATGCCTTCTATTTGGGGAAAAACACCACTACCACCACCACACAAACCCTGCTTTTCATTTTTTTCGTTTAACCTTCTTCTAGCCTTTAAGACACACATGCCCAATTATGAAAAAAATAACTGAAGCACAATTCAAATAAAACCAAGGCCTACAATACAAAACATGTCTTCAGCATTGAGCCTACAATGCTCTAAATAATATGATAAAACACTACAAGGAAAATAAAAGGCTAAAAAAGCTCACAATTAAAAGTTTCCTATTGTTGCTGACCTTCCTAATCCATGAGTGTCAAGGAGTCAAACATCTGTTCCTCTCCAGCAAAACTGGAATCAAGTAATATGCTTTTTTTATCCAACAAAATATTCACAAAATTTTTTCTATAAGCCAAAGGCATAGCTGAGTTAAAGGACTTCTATTAGTAATTAAATCAAAATTAAAGCCCCTTGTCAAGCACTGTGATTTGCAAACATATTTTTTAATGAAGCTTAACTTCAAGTCCAGTGTAGCAGACTACCATATTAAGAATAGGACCAGAAAGAGCTACCCGTGTTAGCTACATACCTTTGTCCTTCTTGAAGTCCAAAGCATCTTCCTTATCTGTCACTATTTCCTTCATGTTGATAATGCTTTGGTGATTAAGCTGTCGAAGAATCTTAATCTCCCGAATAGCTGTAATTGGAAACCCTTCCTTTTCATTATCCAGGCGTACTTTCTTTAGTGCTACCATTTCCCCTAAGAGAAAATTTAAACAGAAAACGTTAAGATTAGCAACCAAACCATAGGATTTGAGTTTGCTTGTTTGTTGTTAAAACCCTTCCCATTTGTTACTATTTCTGAATGGATTAAACAGTTAACATTTTGACACTTGCACCAAATGTTATGGTGAATGGAAACAGAATTAACCATTGCTGGGAAACAATCACATGGAGAAGCAAAACTATAAATGAAAATTTTCAGCTACCCACTGTAAGTCCTGTATACCTCTTCCTGCATACCTCACTCACCAGTGTCCTGATACTCCACACCAAGTCCATCAAAAAACCCCCAAATAAGAGTGATTACCAAGAGCAACTTTAGAGACTAAGATCTATGTCTGCTCTGGATTTCTTATTACTACATCGCCACATATCAGAACACATATGTCTAGCCAGAAATACTACACAGTTCAAGATATGAGGCAGAAAACTAAAGAGTTCACAAATTCCTCAATGTACGTTCTACAAACAGAAGTGTCACTGCCACGTTTCAGAGAGGAGAAATTTTCCTTATTATTTTACTGCAGGCTGGGCTGGATGAAGCTAGACTCTGCAAAATGGCAGAAGCATGATCTACTCATGATGGAGGGTATCTAAAGACTGTATGTCAGCTCAACCATTTTGTTCTTGGAAGTTTATTGCTATGTCTGGGACGTTTATTGACAGCACAGACATCTCTGTTAGCTCTAAAAAGGACTTATCCTACACCAGTGTATATGACACAAATACAGTAGATCACATTCCTGTATAACACAACATCTACTTGCTTTGAAAGCCCCGGTTGTTATAAGGTATCTCAAAGTCCATAATGCGCCTCTCCACACAGGATTTGAATCCAAAGCTAATGGAAGGTTTGCTATAACTGCATGGACCCATTTAATACAGAGCGTGACAACTTCTACTGGAGGTTAAGAAATGACTGCCACACACAAATAACCCAAAGCTTGCCAAAGAGGCAATATGGTTATGATAGGATTAAAAAGTTAAATGTGCGAAGAAGCGAATCACAGGAGAGCAGGAAGAAGCTCCTAACAATGATTTGCAACAGTTCCCAAGGTAGGACATTAAAAAATAAAATATGTGACAGTTCAACTTAAGAACTAAAGTCTGCAAATGGAGACAAGCACAGGTGAAGAATTAATTATAATTACACTGCTCATTCTTCTGGAGATCAGAAAGAAGGAACTGAGGCTGGTATGTGCACGAATAAGCCAGAAGGGCAAGCAGTCACAGAAAGAACCACTAATTGAACATAAAACAATCAAGCAACATACAGCACATATGAAGGATCAATTTCAATGCATTATCTGTTTAGAAGTAGCGACAACATTCTTAAGTATCAGAGTGGTGACTGCTTGCTCATTTGAGCAATAGTTTAACGTGAAATTTAAAAGTTATGTCACTGTTGTAAAGTCAGTTACACTGCAAGAAAAATACCCAATATACAACACTTCAGGGATGCATTGCACAGAGGCAGATTCTCTTCCTACTATCAGCTAGTGACTGTCAGAGACATTAGAGGGCAGAATACCACAAAATTTTACTCAATATAAAAACAAAACTAAAATATCCTGTCCACTTTAGAATTGTAAGATTACATTTACTTTTTTGAACCCACCTGTGTCTTTATCTCTGGCTTTGTAAACTTGTCCGTAAGTGCCTTCACCAATAATACCAATGATATCAAATTTATCCACACAGCGCTTTCCCCAGTCTATTTCTTTTTCTTTCGTTTCACCATGCCGTGGTCCACATATTCTAGAAAACAACCAGCATTTCTAAGAATACAGCTAATATATCTTAAGGATTGTCTTAACCTTGAAAAAAACCTCAACACTGAATATTTATGAGACATTATTAGGTAACTGGCTTACTACCATTAAGTGGCAATAAACCATGCAGTTTGATTCAAAGTCATTAAAAAGCAGAAACATTTTAAAAAGAATGTATTTTAAAGAAACTATTATCACTTCTACTTGCTTGATAGGCTTTTAAAAAAAGTCTAATAAACATACTTTGGTCTTCTCTTGCTGTGTAACTGAACTGCTGGTTTCTTTTCTTCAGGACTTTTGGATAAGTCAGCTCCTCCAGGCAACTCAGGTGGAAGTGGCAAGTCTGCAAGCAGATGGCGAAGTTTCTTCTCTGCTTCTTTAACTGACTTCACAGAAAGATTCTCTCGCAAACTATTAAAGAAGACACAATTTTGCTAGTAAGTTGAACACAGTAGAATGACATTAACATTCATAAAAGAAAACCCTATTGGAATTATTTTTTTTTTTTAAATACATTCTAGGCTGTTGATGCATCAACATTTGAAATCTCTGCTCTTAGAATTTGCAGATTTGATTTATGCTTTACAAACAGCTCACAAAGAGCTCTCTGGAAGATGCACAGCTAACTACCAAAATTCTACAGAAACTATGAAATCAGATCTTTCTGGTGAAAGCTGAGGTTAGATGACACAGCAAGCCTTACCAGGCCAGACTTCTGCCACACAAGCTTTTTCTCAAGCTTATGGCCTAGACTGTTAAGGATGTTCAGAGCTCTGGTGCTGCCAGACATCAGAAGTGTAGTGGTAAAATCTGTACTCTGACTGACTTCTCATATAAAAGAGAAGATTACCCTGATCCAGTTCACTATAATGTTGCTCTCCAGAGATAACAAGCTTTGTGGTTACAGTAACACCGCAGGGCATGAGGCAGTCCACACCACCTCATTTACAGATTCAAATCTCATACATTTGCTGAAAACACTCCAGATTCAACACGTTTATAGTGATGAGTATGCAAATCAAGTGGAAAAAAAAATCAAATGAAAAAAATGACTAAATGTTTTTCTGCCATGGGTTACTGATATCTGACCATTTTTTAATCAACAACCATAATTAGGTAACAGATACTGACAGTCAATCTCTGTCTTGAGAAAAATCCCCCAAACACATGGACAGCAATGTATTCCTTGAACAATTAATATACACAATAATTTTAGAGATGCTCTTCCCATTCTAAAGGGGAAATTCTGAAAGCATCATGCTTGCTGCGGGATTTTTTTTTTTTAAACACATGGTTCCATTTTACCAGAACTTCCTTTAGCTTAGCTAGATCTGTGCAGCTACTGAATATCTAGTAATTTTAAAGCCATGACCATCTCTATATAATTACATAACTGTTTCTCCTCCACAGGACTCTCATACAGTATTCTCTCTTTAAATTTAAAACTTTGTCATTGCATCAAGAAAACTTTCTGTCATGCTTTGAGGGGACATTTTCCAAGATATCTGTATTTGTCAAATTGCGCTATTCTACTGTCAGCATTCTTCTCTGGGAACCTTTTCTGGAGGTTTTTCTGCAACTTCTCATCTACTTAGTTTAATAGATAAAAAGCAGGAACTTCTGTAAATGGAAAGATCTTGCTATCTTCCATCACAGAGAATGCATATATTCTTTCTTACATTAATTGCAATTAGCAATCTTTATATAATTAAAGCATTCCAGTGTTTTGTACATGTCTATGCTTCCCCATGAAAACAGAACATTTGAATGTCTTCCACTGCTTCTCAAGCTGCCACTGCCTGAATTTAAAGAGGCACTTCAAGGAAGCATATACTGCCCCCATCACAAACCGAACGGTTAGCATTCTATAAAGAATAAACCACCTTTGGACAGAGCATGTAATTATCATGGTAAAGAAAATCTGCTTAATTGTGAAGTTCATATATTTGTATTTCTCTCACAATTTCACCCCCAAACTTTCAATATTAGTGAAAGTACAATATATGAGAGGTTCTGAAACAGATTTTAAAAGCAGTACATGAAAACAGAGGCAGCCAAGAGCAGTCTTTTTCAGGTCTGTTAAATCACATGTCTTTGACCACCAGAACACTTTTCGCTTTTAGCTAACCTACACAGTGGTTTTGCAACACTGCTGTTCCTTCAGGTAGTTTATTTGTGGGTTTATCAGATTCTTACTGAACTTCACAACTGACACGACATTAGGAACCAGCCAGTTCTGCAGAGCATCAAGCTTGCTTTATTGGCACAATTTCCCCATAAGTAGCTGAGCCCAAGGTAAAAACCTCTGCCCTCCTCGTCCCTAAAAAACACTGATTATTTTTCTTTGATGACTTAAGCTTTATCATGACTTGTAATCACAACCATTCTGATATGAAGTTTATAACATCCTATAAGCAAAACTAAGCAAAACGTAAATTGACATTCTTTTTTTTTTTGAAAGCAGAATGAGCCCAGTGCTGATAGAACCATTTAATTGTAGCTTAACTCCTGTGTGCAGTTCAGCTATACTTAAAACAGGTATAACATTAAAAAATACTAATAATGAGAAGCAATTAGTCAGCTTCAAGATGAAATATCATTTCATATTATCACAATCAACACTGCAAAGCCAGTCATATATCTAGTTGAACTAGTTAGCCTAGTTTTTAGTTAAAACAGTAAACCTTGCCCTCAAATAACAGTGTCAGAAATCCTGTTACCTAGAGAGGATGGCTTTGTCATAAATTTAAATGCAACTGTACATTCACGGCACAGATGTGATTCTGGACAACTAGAATGACACTTGCTAGAGTGCTGAAGGGCAAGAAACAAGATTTCTCTCTTACTACTAAAAAAACCAAAATCTAATACCTCATTAGGTTGTATTTATTTGCCAAGGCCTCCTGTGCATCCTAATGTTTAACATAGCACTAAATTATTAGCAAACACAAGAGAAACATTTACACCTCTAGTTATAACTAGTTTTACTAATCAAAGAAACACTACACACTTCTCAAAGAACAAGAGAAGACAGGCTAGTTTCACAGATATGCAATATAAATGAAAGTACTTCATAAGGTTTTGAATTTTTCTTTTACAGTTTGATTTTTTACAGAGATGTATCACACAAATTAGTCACTACTTCAATGCTAAGAAATTTGTTTTACTTGTTGTGAGAAGTTGATTTCTCATATATGTGAGAGGCATATAACATCACGAGTAGAAACAAAAGCAGGTCTTCTCAACTTTGTCACCAAAACCAAAAGAAAAATAGTAAATTGCCACTCAACAGCATAATTTTCCAATACAAATCACAGCACGTATTCTGTTAGGACTATGAATAGACTTAATGTAGTCTAAACTCAGATGACACTTGGAATACAGACATGAATTTCTTCAATACAAACCAATTTTTACACCTCAAAAGTTAACACAAATGACATGAACTTCACTTCCATTATACGTACTCAGAATAATACTGACCTCTGAGATAAATTATACTAAAATAACGCACAGCTATAAAAACAATTGCCTTCCAAAGGGAAGAGAATCTTTACCTCAACCCCAACTAATTTAAGAATTTTCACATACTGCTACTGAATTCTTTTCCCCAGAAGTATGTACATGTTCATACCAAACTTGAATTCTTGAATGCATCCTTGCATTAGTCCCAAAGCTATTATGTATCAGCAATTTTAAATAATACTTTAGCCTACTTTTTATTGAAAGATTCCTCCTAGACTAAATCCTTCTCTTTTCGAGAACCAGTTAAATTATTTTTAAGATCAAATTCCTTCAGTTCACTAATAATCACTATGTTAAACAACGGAAGAGCAAGAACAAGCTACCTAACGCATCAGCCTGATCTACCAAAATAGCATTATATTTGTCTTCCAAAGGAAATAACAACAATTAAAAAAAAGAACAGACAATAACAACAACAACAATAATAAAAAGGAACAGACAACCCCAAAAAGCAAATCTATGTCACAACTCACCTATCAGTTTCTTTATCTTCAGGCAGCGTGGGAGGCAAAGGCAAGGGTGGCAGTGTGGAGGTTGGTAGTGCAACAATTCGGTCCTTCTCCTTGGTTACTACACTTGGGGTACTCGGTTTGCTTTTCTCTTTTACAGCAACTGGTGGCTGTTTCACAACAGTTAATTTATTCTCTTTTACTGCTGCAGGTTTCTGTTTAGTAATTTTGTCTGCAATTAAATTATTTTCCCCTTTTGTTTCAGGAAGTGAGACCTTTGCTTTTGCCTTGTCATTTTTCAAATTTGCGCTGCTTGTAGGAGAAGGTGTATGCTCAGTTTTTATTTTTTTCAGGTCCTTTACATTGTTCACTTGAGGTGCACTTACAGCAGTGTCAGTGTTTCCCTTCGTAGGTGTTGAAGTATTGGAAGCTTTTGCACTGGCTTTGGCTGCCTCAGCAGCTCTTGCTTTTTTGTTTTTGTTCAGCTCAGCAGCCAGGCTACTCTTCAGAGTCAATGTACTAGGAGAAATACTTGAATGACGACTTCTGGACCTAGACAATCTGTGTCTGCTACGAGACCTCGAGTGCCTTGATGAATATGGACTTCTGCTTCGAGATTTTGCTGATCTCCTGTTTCAAAAAAGTAAAGATTTACCCAGTTAAAATTTAGTCTAGCTGCTTTCTCAGTGTATCTGGTTTTTTGACAAACTACTTTTAAACCAACCATTATCACCATGCTTCTAGAATAAACAAAAGTCTATGAAATAGGAAAGATTGTGCATTAAAAAAAATTCTACAGAGTTAATAAATCAAGATTCTACACCTAAACAGGTGGTTAGAAAATGTTAGTGCTTTCTAAGACACACTTTCTCTCATTAAAGAACTGCAAAATACAAGTATACCTATAGGACAGATGTGTTCCTTTTTCCTCACTACTAATCAGAGATATTTTCCTCCTTTAAAGAAAATCTGATCCTATGTAACTAGTGCAAACACCTTTAGCATATGCAGTATTTGAGAAAAATTCAGCTGGCTACATAACCAGAATTCAACAAAATGAAATTAATGTTACAACATGACAAGAAAAATCTAAACACAACATTGAAGCAGTAATTGTAGCATCTTCTTAAGTTTCACTGTCATAAGGGTCATTAAGGTAAGTTAGTTGAAAAAAAATTACTGAATACTAAAGGCTGCAATGTAACCAACTGAAATACAGCAATAAACTTTAGCTTTCCTTTTTTGAAATGTAACTGTATACTTTTTCCCCCCAAAACCAAAAGTGCTCAATACTTCTTACAGCTACCAATAAGCAAACATAATCCAGAAGCAGGCCTATGCTATTCCTGCATCAGAATAAAGAGACTAATGGGGGTGGGGAAAAAAAAAGAAATCTAAGCCATCTACAAAATCATAGCAGGAAAATGACCTAGAATGAAGGGGGGGGGGGAATCTTAACAGTTAGAAAAGCAAAATTTTACTGTGCAAAAATACCATTTAATATGCATTACTTTTCATTCAATTTTTCAAAGGGATATTCTAATTTGCCTAGTAGTTTTGATTCAGTTCTTCATTAAAAAACAAAAGGGAAAAAAATATAATTGAGGTGAAGGGCATGAGAACAAGTAAAGTAGCCTAATCCATTGTTACCATACAGAAACATTATGAAATAAATGAAACTAAATGTGGGAGTTTTAATCCATTTTACCATACTAAGAATAGCAAGAATATTCACCAGATTTACAAGTATCCTCTTGATTAAAGTTTGATGGAAATCTATGTTTCTTGAGTATATCACTTGAAGGGGAAGAAAAAGCATAATCAGGATAAAAAAATGTATTCATCAGCTGAACAAAAAAAAAGTATCAGCAATAGCAAAAATAAGACTTCTTGGAAATACAAAATCTTCAGAGTTCAAAAGATAGCACCAGTGTATGAAGGCTGCCAAAACTTCAAAGAAAAAAAGAAAAAAAAAGCTAACTACAATCATTAAGTCAAGACTATCCACCCCTATGTCAAATTTAATTTTAGTAACAAATTAATTCTGTTTTAATTACCAACACAAAAAATTACATTTCAGTGCTTCAACTGAACAAATATTTAATTTAGTACAATGATGTTTCTGGTTTGTGTGCAATATTGACTAATTTCCAAATTTACACTGTTTTCCTGCATCATATGTCTTCTTTCTAAAGCAACATAAAAATTGAGTTGTCAAGATTACATAGCAATGATTCAAAACAACGTGTAGGTGCGCACACTGTACACTATAGCACAAGCTTCAAAATTCTATAGGTAAAACTGGTTTTACAGAGCAGGTTTTACAGAATTTTCTGGCATGGCAGGGTAACAAAGACAGATTAATAATAATAATAGTAATAATAATGGTTTTTACACTTTAATTAAAAGAAGCTGCACAATTCTGTTCTCTGAATTTTCAACCAAAATCTAAGGTTTTGGTTCACCTAGTGAAAAGATACTAATGTCCATTAAAAAACAAAACATCAATATTTCTGACTATTATTACCTTGAAAACTCACTTCTACTCCATTATGAAACATGCTGCTGAAGTTATTTTTCTCATTATTACTTTGGAAATCTAAGTACTAAATCCCATAGAAAATTTTCAGAGGCTTGGCCAAACTGAAGTAAAAAAAGTACAAACTTCCATAATACAGAATTATGATGGGGTAGTAGGAAGAAAAAGGAGGGCTGAGACTATCCAGACAATATATACACTTCAAATTCTAGGCCAGAGCTCTCCTCACACTGTTATCTCACTTTCTGAGAGAAATTACTATCTCAAGCAGAAGCATACTGCTACAGATCCACACCAGCTATAGAATCAGTATAATTATATTTCTCCAGCCTCAAGCACAAGCTAATAAGCCCCATTAGTCCTAAACTGACTTCTAGAAATGACGCATCATTCACGAGGATGTCTTGGAAAACATTTGCTTAGACATCTTGTTCCTAGATCAGCTATTTTAAACTAATACTCGCTCCAGTTACCTGTAGAATACAGCCTCCATCCCAAGGACATCACTGCAACCTGCCTTACCTGTATTATTTTTTTCAAACTTAAAACATGCCCTAAAGGTCTCAAAATCAGTTCTATTTCTTGCGTAAGTATGATTTCTGGGCTTTTGGTTTGGGTTTGTTTTTTTTTTTTTTTTTTGAAAGGTGCCTAATATAACGTAATCTATGTCACAAAAAGAGATATGGACGTAATTCCACATGCACTAGAAAAGAGCAGTAGCAGCTTAGAACACTACAGGTGCTGAGACACCATGCCTGGTTATAAGCCTGCTTCTGTTCCATTTGGGTTCAAAATAGAACAGGTTCATTTAAATTACTACTGAGGATGAAATGAGAAAATCTGTTCAAATTAGTGACTGCAAATGCTCACCTGATCAGCTACCATAACTTGGTGGGGAAGAGGCAGTTTTGAAAAGCTGGAGCAAAAATAACCTAAATCTTTATATCTTCTTCAAAAACAAACATGTAAGGAAGCCAAGCATTGACAGTGGTTTGATGTACGTACTTTACCAACATTAGTCAAGAGAGTCTGGGACATGAACATGGATTTATGCAAGCTCAGCAGAAAACCACCATTCTCCACCCTAGGTTTCACACCCCAAATGACAATAGCATAACTTTCTCATGTCAGAATTGCATCCATGTGGGACACAACAAATACACATGCATACAATTTAAGTTTCAGTTCCAGTACATACTACAGCCTTTAACAGCAGATCAAAATGGTAGTAGCTTAGTTATGAAATAAGCTAAGTATAATCTCTGCACAGGTTTAATTCTTCCAAAAGTTTTTCATTATTTAATTTTATGTCAGGAAAAGAAAAAAAAAAAATGTTGCATAGTGCATGTCTGTGCTAATAATAAACTAGAACTTCCTTTGGCATCCCAAAGACCTTTGCAAGAATCCCTTGCTGTACCTTGTCCACTCAGCTAGACCCAAGAGAGTTACAGCAAAAACACGAACACTTTCAATTAAACAGACAAATGCTGAATCTTAAGTAAAAAGCAGCTTTGTCAAAGCACTAGTTATTCAAGTTACAATGACAAAATCTGGTGTTTTCATAAGCTTAATGATCTTTTCAAATATCCAACTATCACTTTCTTTCATCAGCATTCAAAAGTCCCAAAAGAAGCTTCCAGGCTAGGCAAAACTTATGTACAAGTTTCCATCTATAAAAATGGCACAAAACCGAGACTATGGACATTTACAAGCTTTCCCTCAGAAGCCTATACAAAACTCAGAGTGGAGAAATATTGCCTTATGCATAATAAAACCAGCCAATTCACTGTTCAGGGCTAATGCTCATTTGACATAAAAGATGAAGTCACAGCAGCACAGAAATGGGCTCACACAATAGCCAGTGTCTGCCATTTAACAGGACACTAACATTTTACTGAAACCCTGAAAAAACACTAGGAGAGACATCCGAAATATACAGTACTCTCTAAATCTTCCAACAGATTTCAATTAAATGTATGTGCATGCATGCATACACACATATATAAAAATGCCTTATCGGACATTCATTCGCCACCAACTATGTAATCTTTAATTAGGAGTTTGTTTTTAACACAGCAACCAGGAACAAAAGAACAGTGGCTACAACTGCACAGAACTGCATTGCAAATGGTAAACAAACCCAACAAAACAATTGGAACTTTTTTCCCCATGCCTGGAGAGATCAGAAAGCGTACTAAGCCTAAGGGCCACATCCAAACCTCCCAAACCAAAAGCACCAGCATCTGCTGGTAACACAAATGGGGAGAGACTACTGAGAAGCCCCTATTTCAGATAAGTTTCTTCCAATGCTTCTTCCTATTTGCACCCAGAAGTTCTGCCTCATTTACAAGTACCTTTGCCACGTTTAGCCATTAACAGCCTTCTATGAGCGTCTTGAATTCACTTCACACAGGTCTATATCCCTACAGAAAGGATAACTGCCAGACTTCATGACATTCATAAAATTACTTCTGAACCATATATAGATTTCAATATGTTTTTATATGGGGGGGACAGTGACAGGGGCTGGGACTGATTTGCCTAAAACCTGTAAGCGTCAGTACCACTAGCCTGCCTTAGAACTAAGAAGTTCTTTACATAAAGCTGGGGTTTTTTTCTTCCCCAGAGACAAAGGGGACTAGGAGCACAAGATTAGCTGCAAAGGGAAACTGAAGTAATTACGTAATATTATGTATAGCTATAAAATCAGAAAAAATGGTTCAAGACATTATCTACAAAACACATATGAGAAGAGGCAGATTTAAAGAAACTGATAGAGGAAGAACACACTAGTAAGGAAGTCACCCCGAAACCAAAACTCGTGCTTTCCTCTATTTTTCAGAACAAAAAGAATGCTCCCCTCTGCTAAGAAATAACGATTTTAAAAATTCTGGTTTAGGTATTGCGTTTTTTCTTTTTAATATTTTTTGCCTAGCACCCTAGATTGCATAAAACAAACCAGTATTCATTTTTTCTCTAATTAATACAATGCAGTTATTCACTCTATAAAAAACTTCTCAAGATATCAAAGTGTTATTAGTTACAAGTGTCAAAACTGTTACAATGTTCCTCCTTCTCGAAAGGCAACAAT